CGGTGATGTATATGGACACTTCGCTGGGCGAGTGCTTATGGAACTATAATCTCACACCCTACTATTGGATCCTAGAGGGACCTCGACTAGCGGTTATACTGGTGAGTTCTTTTCAAATCTTATAATGCGAAGTCTTTAAGAAAAATATCTAAACTATCTGCAGCTGAATTTTTGTTTCCTGGTGAATATTATACGTGTGCTGGTTATGAAGTTGCGCCAATCTCAAGCCAGCGATATAGAACAGACCCGAAAAGCCGTCAGAGCAGCGATAGTCCTACTACCACTTTTGGGTATTACCAATCTACTGCACCAGCTGGCTCCCCTGAAAACGGCCACGAATTTTGCGGTCTGGTCGTATGGCACCCACTTTCTCACCTCGTTCCAGGGTTTTTTTATAGCACTCATTTACTGTTTTCTGAATGGCGAGGTAAGTTCATAGGTTAAAAGTAAAGGGAAAAAGTAATGCCGCAATCACTTACAAAGCTGTCTAAAAGTATGCAATGAAAAATAAAATGTTGCTTTTTAAAATTAGCCCATGAAACTTTTAAAATAAAAATATGATTTAGAAATAATTTTAAAACCCTAGTGATATCTGTGACACTATTGAATGATTTGAATCAATTCTTTACATGTAATTACATGTAATTCAAGCAAATATAAAGCTGTCTAAAATTAGTATTTTAAAAAGAATCATACTTTTAGACAGCTCTAAAAATCATTACAAAACCCTTGTGACTTAAATGTTTTTTTACAATTAAATTCAATATTAAATAAACAATAACCTAGAAATATCTTATGCATTTCACTGAAGGTCCGCGCAGTGCTGCTAAAGAGTCTGGCCACCCAGCTGTCGGTTCGCGGTCATCCAGAGTGGGCGCCGAAAAGGGCGTCCATGTACTCGGGTGCCTACAACACGGCACCAGATACGGATGCAGTGCAGCCGGCGGGCGATCCATCGGCCACCGGGAAGCGGTAAGCGGTAACACCTGTGGCTCTATGCCACCTCAATTGGATTCCTCCTGCGAATAAACCCATAATCTGCAGAATATCACCGCCGCATAAAAGGCTAAACGGAAGAAAACCGAGCAGCGCCAGCATTGTGATGATCCATGAACCCCAGCAGCGTCATCGGCTGATTCCCCGGCTGCAAAACAAGGAGCGGGAAAAGAGCAAGGATCGGGTGGAGAAGGCGGATGCTGCAGAAACGGATGCCAATCCGGATCCGGCCATCTCGCGCATTCACAGCAAGGAATCGGGGATCGCGGGTAGCACGGGATCACGGACTCGCGGCTCCAAGTGGATCATGGGCATCTGCTTTCGGGGTCAAAAGGTACTGAGAGTACCGTCAGCGTCATCCGTGCCACCCGAGTCAGTTGTATTTGAGTTGTCAGAGCAGTAGCCCAAAAACTAGCCGTAGATGTAGCCTTATAGACGTAGCCAAATAGCCGTAGAAGTAGCCAACGCCATAAAGCCACAACCACAGTAGTGAGCACACACCCATTGAAACGGGAATTCTCAAAAAAATATTACCCTAAAAACCTCCCCCTTACAAGAATTCCCCAAAATCTTATTCTTTCTGCATCACTATGACTTTTTTCCCTTCATTTCATAAGATAAGCAAGCCAAAAAAATAAATCAACATCAAGCTTTCATTTTTTTTTACATTTAGCTTTTAAAATGACAAAAACTAAATTTTCCAAGCTCTTTAACATTTAGATAAGGAATAAATTTAAGTTTAACAATCTAAAGCATCAAACTGTGTATAAAAAAAACGTGTAAAAAATCGTTAGAGGCTTCACATCCATATTTTTTGTTTCTAAAATTAACCTTATTTTTCCAATCTTAATTTTGACTTGCTTTTCTTGCTCCAGTGCAATTATGTATATACAATCATTCATGTAGGACAGAACCGTTCCCTCCTCGATAGCCTTGAACCCCAAGCCCAAATTCGGCAAATCTTGTGAAAAATTAAACTTACCTTAACATTTCTACTTAATATACTTGATGACAATATATTTCTAATAGCGCCACATTCTGTTCTGGACACGCAAATACACTCAAAAACACTCGCACACGGTTATTATGAATGATGAATTTTTCAGCAAAACTTGAGCGGCATGTTCTTTACTTCTATTCATTTTAAAATGCTAGATTGAAATATTCGTTACTAGGCAGTGTGATCAAATCACGAAGATTATTACAATTTATAATTGGATTCTTAGACTTGTGAAATACTTAATTTTGAAAACGATCTGACGGACAAAATATTGTATGCTTAATTTATTATTTCCTATTTTATAGCTAAATAAACTGTAACTAATTTTGCTGCTACTATTATTTTATTGAAAATTTTTAAGTTTAATGGATGGAATTAAGTTTTAAAAATGTTATTCATATCCTGTTTTTTTTAAATAAATGTATGTATTTAAATTATTTATTTTTGTTATATTCTTTTAATTTCTTTATTAAATTTTAAAAAACTCAAGAAACGTTGTAAGATACCTTTTGCTTATGACAGACTGTACTTTATGCTTTTGGGCTGGTCACACTGCCAGTCACGATCGATCACGTTCTCTGTCACTGCCTTCAATTTTGCTAGCTGCGCTTTGTTTTGCAATGAAAAACTTTGCCACGATCAATATTAAACTAATGGGGTCCGCAATCGAAGGCACAAATTGAATAAATCATTTTCCGGCTTATCTCCCACTCAAAATGCGGCTCTCCTTTCGGACTTTGGATTTCTTTTTTCCCCGCTTATCGTTTGCAGGACAAATGTGTGATGCCAGGTTCGCAAAAGACGCAACAAATATTTATGACGTCACAATTGCCGCCGACGTCGACGCTGGCAGCGGTAGCAACAACAATAACTACATCAACAACAACCGCAGCAGCAGCAAAAACCACAATAGCAACAATTGCAACAATCGCAACGATAACAAAATCGAAGGCAAAAGCCAAAGCGATTGCAAAAAGTCATCAAATGCCGAAAGCCTAAGGCGTCTCGATCTCTCTATCCCTCCCTCATGTCACTCCATCTCGCTCTCTCTCTTTCTGTTTCCTAAGGATATCATAAAAATGAATAAGAGAGAAAGAAGGAGCCTAGCTAAGCATTTGCAAGCGCAACTGTACTAAACTAAACTAATAAGCTGAAACAAATTGCACGTTTTTTGTATGCAGCGGCTTCGATTATACCGCGATAAGTTTCGATATACATACAATAAATATCGATCAGTACACATAATTATATATATCCAATATTTTTGTATATTTACCAACAAAATGTTGGATCCAAATTTTTTTGCATATACATATAAAGAAAATGTGTAATGAGTGTATTGATGAATGTAATTGTTAATCTATTTTTTTTTTTTTTGAATAAGCTCAATATACATACATGTAACGGTATTTACATAAAGCATAAAGAAAACATATTTACATACTTGGTATTTACACTGTCGCATGGAAAAAAAATGATAGAAATGTCGGAGCATAGATCGTATATTGAATATACATATATATTATGTATACACGCGCAAAGAGAGTACAAAGCACTTGGAACGGTAAAGAGGAACAAAACGAAACAAACGGAAATTGAACGTATCATTATGTCACATCATCTGATCTCTGATCAGGGCGAATATTGAATATTCACCTTTAACTTTAAGCTTACTATGCATTTTAAATGGAATTTTTTGTGTGTGAAATCGCGTTAGTTTTTTATTTCTTTTCGGTTACCTTTTCGCTTCACGCAATTTTCAAAACTAAGAATTTAAGCCGAATTTAAGAGAGGGAACCTTTAAACCAGAACACCCAGTGGTCAATGGCAAACTATTACGTGTATAAGGCTAAATGGAAAATGAATAAACATGATTTTATATGCATACATATACTACAAACCAAAGTCGGTTGTCTACTTTCTTCATCTTTATTTTGGATCAGGTGTTCGAGATTATTAAGTTTGCGGTCTTTGATCGGCACGTGCCGCTCGTGAATCCACAAATTGGCATAGTTAAATTGGCAATTTTAGCCCATAAGCATCTTAATCTGACAATTTGATGAGCCATCAAATGAATATTAAAGTGAAGCTTGTGTGGAATGTATGTAGCAGATACCCTATTCTAGGTAAATCTTAAGCATTCCGTTTTTATGGGTGTCCATTAATATCTTTAAAAATACTAATAAACTTTTGTAATTCAATGGGTTTATAGGTATTACCATATATCAACCACTATTTTAAATGGCACAACTACTATAAATTGTTTTTATGGCATCCAAATTAGGCCACTAATTGCCAGTGATCGATAAGTCGACTAGAATATTGATAACCTATTTAAGTTGTATAGAAATGCAACAGAATATCTTTCCCCACAAGGGAACAAAAATAAACAACCCCAACAAATAATTAAAAATAATAGTATGTGGAAAGTATTTCTCAGGAGACACATAAGAATGATATATGTATAAAGTAATTTTTTCTTTACATGCCAAATAATTTAATCCCAAATATTAAAAGCTTTTTTAGCTGCAAGCTTACTAACCTTAATAAAAGACAAAGGCAATTCTTAAAATAGGGTACGTAATTTTCAACATAAATCTTATTTTAATGCTGCGTATTCTTGAGTGATTTAGGAATTCAGCTTCCATATTTCGCAATGTATTTTAGGTGTCGCATTTGAGAGCTTTTTCATTTTATATAAACGTAATACTGTTCGTTGCTACTTTATTTTTTTTTTTGCTACGTATACTTAATATTAACTCTGATACTTGGTTTTTGTTTTCCTGTTCATTTTTCGCATTCCGTTCTGAAAGACTTATACCTAATATTATATATAAAAAACATATATTTTACCTAGAATTCCTGTAGCTCAAACATTATCTACGTTTGATATTCGTATTTCTCCCGATATTTCTTGCGTATACTTGATATCAGCTGACTCTTTTCCACTGTGCAAATACACTTAGATACACGACAGCCAATTGGCAATTGAAACCACAAAACATAGCGATCACAAAGGTTACGATTACGGATTGTATTTCCAAGAACGACAAGTGGTACAACATCCGGATCACAATGAACGACAACAAAAACGAGAGGTGTTGGTCTTTTGATGGGAAGTGAGGTAGCAGAGTTGAGTGATTGGGTGTTGTTTGAATGGACAGGTGTAGCAACAGGTGGTGGGTATTTGGATATAATGATGCATTAGATATAATATCGGTCTAGAAGAGCAGATCCTCGTCACCGTCCTCATCGAGGATATTCTGCGCCTCCTTGGTTTCGGCCAATTGGCCCAGACGACGCTGCTCCTCGCGTTTCTTATCGGATGCCTTGCGTGCCTCTCGCTTTTTATCCTGAATTTTCTTTAGTCGGTAGAATTCCTCACGCTCCAGTTCATCCAGCTCGCTGATTATGTACTCTATGGTTCGGTTGATGCGGGGGATGATCACTGGATAAGAGAAAAGTCATTGAATAAATATATTTATAAAAAATGCACTCGAAACTAAGAATCAAAGCCCGGCGATTAGTTTTAAACATATCTTTTTAAGGGACACTATACTATTAAGACTTAAGTGATATTGTGTTTCCACCCACCGTGCTCGATGGCATTGACCCTTCGGTTGGTGACCTTGATGACATCGTCGAGGGTCACAAAGGAGGTCTGCAGCGAGGCCAATTCCACGAGCAGGCGCACTGCACTCTGGTAGTTCTTCTTCAGCTTGGCCAACTGCTGGCCACCGCGTGCCAATCCGGCCAGCTCATAGGTGTCCACCCCATCCGTATAGGGTTCGAAGACGGGCAACGTAACCCCGGCCACATTATCCTTTTTGGTGCGTATCTTGATCTGGGCCTTGGTCACATTCTGCAGGACAATCTGGTTGATATCGCCGGTGGTGAACTTGACCTCGGCCAAAGAGAAGGCGGCCTCCTTCATCACCTGACCCATCAGGGTTTTGGTCTGAAAATCAAATAAAAATACATTGCAGAATCTTCCCTCTGATTTAAAAAACCCAATACCTTACCTCAATTATTTTGCCCAGAATCAGACGAAAGCGCATCTGCAGGGCATCTGCTTTCTTCTTAAGCAAACCATGTCCCTTGGTGGCGCCTGCCAAACGCGATTTCATCAGCGTTTGGGCACTACAACGAGGTACATATATATGTAGATATAGCAAGGATTACTCCCGGCCAGGACTCGAACTACTCACCCTCGTGAGGGAAATATGGGCAGGCGGTCTTTGGCTGCCATCAAAAATCAAACAAAAATATGCTACTCAAACACAAACAAAAAAAAAATACAACACGCACCACGCCAACCAAGTCCAAACTATAAATAACAACAACAAAATATTTACTAAATATATGCGACACTACGAAAATAAAATAGACTACTAAAATGAGGGAACAGCGAACAGAACAGCACGACAACAAACTGGGCCAGCGAATGAAGACTCATCGAGCGACCTGGCGAGAGAGTGACGATCTTGGGGATGGAATCGAATCGCATCGGATCGGAGGGGCCACCATGGGGGCTCGGAATTGGATTCGGGCCCCTCAGCTGTTCCGGAACAGCTGTCACAGTTTATGGCACAGTATGCGTTGATAAAAGGCATGTCCGAACCGAAACACCTGTAACTCGGTGGTTCTTTGAGTTCGGCACATGCAATTTGGTATGTGATATATTTTATGATTTTAAGAATTCAGCACCTCTTTGTTTAGCATACAAAATATTACCAATATTTAAAAATTATTATAGTTTTTGAAAACTATTTTTATAGGACGCTCAGATAATGGGTATCTTTTGGTCGTTAATGTTGAGCAAAACTGCTACTGAACTCAGTAATGCTATGCCAACAAGCAATTAAAAATTGTCGGCGGTAATAATTTGCTTAAACATTACGTTAACGAATTAATTATTTATATACATGAATAATATAGAACAAAGAGTACCAAACTTTTAATGAAATTATGCTGTCAAGAAGTTGTGATACAGAGTTAAAAAGCAGTCAGTTAGTAGGCTTTCAAAAAAAAAATTGGTACACATTTTTCTAACAAATTGTACAAATTTATAGCCGCATTTAGCCAATGGATTTTCAAAGTTTAACAGCAAAGCTTTTGAGACATAAGATTACGGAGATCCTGAGACCTCATAGATTTCAATGGAGCGCCAAAAGGATGCACCATTTCAAGGTCAGTTAGTGATTCTCCCCGTTCGATAGTCACTCGATAGGTCGATTGTCATTTTGATAGATTAATACCGCAGTGATGCCAGTTCCATTTTATTACCGTTAGCGCAGATTGATTTCAATTGAAACTGATTGTCATTCAATAACGCACAAAAATTTTCGGGGGCCCTCAAAAAACGGCAATGAAATAAAAAGCTGCCACACGCAGATAAACGCACAGCGGCACTGACATTGAAATACCTTTGTACTCCGGCTATTCGGATGTCTCCAGGTCTCCGGTTACGGTTATGACTACGTCCATCCGGAGCAGAGTCACGCAATTTGAATATGCGTCTTGTGCCGACGTGTGCGTCGATTTGAATGTACATATGTCTATTAAGCACTAAAGTGCAGAGAGAGAAATTATGGTTCTTATTATTTCAAAACCTGATATTTTCATTCGAATTGCTATAATATATAAAAATATTGTGCAATAAAGATATGTACTTATATATCATAAAAACATTATATTACTAAGTTCAGTTTTAATAGAAAAGTACATTTGAAATTGTTTATTATACCCGTTACTCGTAGAGTAAAAGGGTATACTAGATTCGTCGGAAAGTATGTAACAGGCAGAAGGAAGCGTTTCCGACCCCATAAAGTATATATATTCTTGATCAGGATCACTAGCCGAGTCGATCTAGCCATGTCCGTCTGTCCGTCTGTCCGTCTGTCCGTCTGTCCGTCTGTCCGTCTGTCCGTCTGTCCGTCTGTCCGTCTGTCCGGATGAACGCTGAGATCTCGGAAACTATGAGAGCTAGGCTATTGAGATTTGGCGTGCAGATTCCTGAGCTTCTTACGCAGCGCAAGTTTGTTTCAGTAGACTGCCACGCCCACTCTAACGCCCACAAACCGCCCAAAACTGTGGCTTCTACAGTTTTGATGCTAGAATAAAAATTTTAACTGAAATGTAATGTTCTCATCAATACCTGTCGATTGACTCAAAAAAAAGTTTGCCACGCCCACTTTAACGCCCACAAACCGCGAAAACCTGTGACGCCCACAATTTTTATGCTAGATAAAAAATTTTAACTGAAATGTATTCGTCTCGTCATTACCTATCGATTGACTCAAAAAAAAGTTTGCCACGCCCACTTTAACGCCCACAAACCGCAAAAACCTGTGACGCCCACAATTTTCATGCTAGATAAAAAATTGTAACTGAAATGTATTGGTCTCGTCGATACCTATCGATTGATCCAAAAAAAATTGGCCACGCCCACTCTAACGCCCATAACGCTTAAATCTGTATACCGCCGGTAGGTGGCGCATTTTAATCTCGCTTTGCTGCTTGCATATCTCCATTTAGCTGAGTAACGGGTATCTGATAGTCGAGGTACTCGACTATAGCGTTCTTCCTTGTTTTTCATTATAATTTACATTTTCTCTTCGTTTATATTCCTAATTTATATTTTTTACATTTTGAAAGTTTAATTTTTTTTAATGTTCTTTAACCATTACGTGACAATGGACTCGTGTCGTAGTAGGGGTATTAATTAACGTTATGAATATGCACAGCAGGGAGTTACGAGGTGAGAATAGGTCAGAATGTGGTAACATTTTTGGTCAAGCAACAGTTGGCCGAGGGGCGTTGTCTAGACTCCAAAACGAGCCAAGGTCATGCAGACCATATACGTAAAACCATTATTTTTCACTGTTTTAAAGATAGTAGAACTTAGACATTCGTGATATTAAATAAACTATTTTTTATTTAAACTATTTCATATTTATTTATTTGTTAGGACTCAATAAAAATGCTTGTCCATCAACTTTTCAACAAACACATAATTCGGTTTTGCTATTTCAACTTCACTTTCTATGACAAAAGCGATCTGATAAGAGCTCCACTTTATTTGTCCTGCCTCTTAGTCCGCTCCAAGAAAGCATTTGCATAAAACGTTTACCAGAGAACTCGTCCCTTTTATACTTAATGGGGCACGTCCTAGTCGTTGGGGAAGTCAAAATCTGTATATAAGTGGGAATACGGGCGTACATTGTGCGGCGTATATAACCTCACAAAGACGGAATCAACAGTTGGCGCGTATACGAACAACAAAGGTCGATTTCGGATGAATTTTCCGGGGAATTTTGGGGTGGACAAGGGGGGACAACTCTCGATTTTAGTGGGCCACCATTTGTATTTAGGCATAAGTCACGACCAGGCAATCGCTCCTGTTGATATATGTATATACGCACATGTTGCGTATACGCATGGCTGTCACTCGAAGGGTACGACAACAACAAGGACAACAGGGCATTTGTTGGGCGGCAAAGCGGCTCCCTACCTTCTATTTCTACCCCATCCCAAGGAACTGAATTTTTCTCATGCTTCGGCAATGAGGCAAACACGAGGGCGTACACTGAGCAAAACGAGGGCGTAAATGTACCCTTAAAAGCAGATCAAAATCTATTTTCTAATTTCTTAAATATGTGTTCTTGAGGATTGCTATGTAATTATGTTTTCATATCCTTAAATAGCAAATATAACCCCTTGCCTAATGTATGTTTTGAGTTCTGAAATCAAGAACATTTTTTTATGAAAAAAGTAAAACTACTTACATATATAATATTATATAAAATTAATTTTTGTAACAAATATACTTAGATATATTTTCTAGAAGTGTATAAATGGGATGCTGTTGCTGGTGGTTCGCTTCTGTCGGCTGCTCCAGCTGCTCCAGTCACATTTCGCATCTGAAAGCGCCCGCAAGTAGGTTACACATTTTTTCATAGCTTTTTCCTCCGAGGAAAACAAACAACAAGTTTCGATACCTTCGATACCGTCCAGTTCATTCAATCCGAACAAATCCGCCACAAGAGTACAGAGTAAGTGGAACTAACTACTAATTTCCAAGAAATCCAACTCGAAATCGGTTAACCACAGGTGATAAGTCCTCTGTCACGCTCTCCAAGATTAAATGGACAGGATGATGGGGCGTTTAGTGGGTGGAGTGTCATTGGGGGCGGCTTTCGATGGGGGTGTGTCATTAGAGCGTTGCAAAGGATAGGGAAAGTGCAATTGGAGCGAGTGAGAGACAAAAGGTTGAAAGTTGAAAGGGTAGCCAGGGTGTTGCCACTAATTGAGTTATAGAAAAAAAGTTTCCTTCACATATATATATGTTCAAGTACCATATACACATTTGCATCTGCCAAGGAATTAATCTTATAAAAAGAGGAAAGTTTTCTATACATTTATATAGAGTTTTATCTAGTTGAAGTGCTAGCAAAAATAAAAGGCTCTGTTAATATCAATATAATTTGTTTTTAGCAATCAGTTTGGCTCATTATTTATAGTATACCCTCAACATTGATTTTACCTTCTTTAATCTACAGGTGTGCTACGAAAATATATTTATGAAAAACAAACTTGATTCTGTACAAATCGGAATATTTTACATAATAGGGCTTAAAACAAACCACCTAACATTTGATTTATATTTATATCAGTTAAATTTTTCAAAAACTTACATATTTCCTGCACAGAACTTGGTTCACACCCTCAGGTCTACCAGCCCCGCCGACAGCGATACTATGGAGTACAAAATGATAGGACCGGAGCACAGTGACCAGGTGATCGAGCACCTTCGTCACAACTTCTTCGCCGATGAGCCACTGAACAAGGCCGCTGGCCTGTGCCAAAATGGTAGCAGTTGCGCTGAACTGGAAGATCACTGCGCGGAGGCCATACACCATCGGATGAGCGTGATGGCTGTAGACGTAAAGGATGCTGGAACCTGCAAAATAGCAGGCGTGGTCCTAAATGGCATCTTGAAACCGGACGACACGGCCAAAGCGCTGGAAAAACTCGACTCATCTGGCGATGCACATTTCCGGAAGATCTTCGAGATGCTACACAGGCACAATCTCAAACACAATCTCTTCGAGCACTTCGATGTGGAGTCCATGTTTGATGTGCGCATACTATCGGTGGACTCTAGCTATCGTGGCCAGGGCATTGCCAATGAGCTGGTGAAGCGATCTGTGGCAGTGGCCAGAAAGAATGGCTTCCGTCTGATGAAAGCCGATGCCACTGGCATCTTCTCCCAGAAGATTTTCCGCTCCAATGGATTCGAGGTCTTCTCGGAGCAACCTTACTGCAAATACACAGATGAGAACGGCAAGGTGATCTTGCCTGTTGAGGCGCCGCACATCAAGATGCAGCTCCTCTACAAAGCGATCTGTGGCGATGAACAGGATGATAATGCGAAGACGCATTAAGGAGACGACACGCTGTCTCGGAATTGGAACAATAATCTTTTTATTGGAATGTATTCTTAAAACAAATATAGAAATTATTTGGGGTCGGCAGACGGAAAGTAAGCTAAGGACAGAGGAATTTTATTCCCAAAAACTACATTCACTTTAAATTTAGAACTTTTTTTTTTATCGGTAGTGCCACTGAAATCGCAGGGCGCCCATTTGGCGTAAGTTTGGCAGGTGTATCAATATAAATTTTATACGACTTGGCGTGGAAGAGATTTCTGTGGCACCCCTATATATTTAAGTTTCGACTTTCCAAGGGCTATTATCCCACCAAAGGATACTCTGAGACCAGGGGCGTAGCCAGGGGGCTTTAGGGGTTAGCCCCCTCTCACTTTTTACTTGAAATCCTTGCAAAACATTGTGTAAAAAAAAACATGCTACACAATATTTGTTCTGAAAACCTCCTAATCCCTGGCTACGCCGCTGTCTGAGTCCAAGATATAGCCTTAGATAACTTTCCGCTGACGGTTTATAACTCTATAATGTGGACAGCTGCCTGGCTAGTTTACGTAAACGCGTGTGTAATTGTTGTTGTTTTTTATGGGGACCAACTGCTAACAATACCTAAATAAAGTACACTGTTGTGCCAAAGTTAACCAAGCAGCTCTTTCTCTAAGCCTTTCACTTCAAGTACCCCGACATGCTCCCCGACATTCGCCCCCTAAAGTCCTAATATCACAAGCGCAGATTCCAATGCTTTTTTTTTCAGCCGCTGGCAACCTGGGCAACTGCAGGTACTGCTGTTCCTTTTCCTATTCCTTATTCAGGCGTGGTCATCCGTTTACTCCCTGGTGGCTTTCTTCTCGTAGATGAAGATGATGTCCTCGTCGGTGCCGTAGGCGCGACGGGCAGTGTCCATGGACTCGATGAGGCACCGACAAATGTCTATGGAACGCAGCCAAAAATTAAAATCAATGAGTTTGCAGCGTAATTGGAGGACACTAGGGTGGCACGGCTCAAATTAGTTCAAGGATTTGGGTAATTCAAGTCCACTGCCAACTAGTCTCGGTTTCTGGAATACTTACGGCCGTCATGGACCTCGGGATTGTGATAAAAAAGCTTTTGAGCAGCCATGTCGTAGCCACAGAGCACCACATAGTGTCCGGCATACCTTTTGGATCCACGTAGGCGTGTATTTCGAACGATACATGGTATATAAAAACAACTTTTCATGGGAAATATCCGCGGGGTGGGTTGGGGATTAGGATGAGCCCTATGGTTGGGGGGGCATTACTTACCCAAACTTCTCCAGGACATTGCGTTTGCACACCTCGCAGGTGAGCAGCGAGGCGTTGGTCAGCAGGATGACGGGACCGTGGCGGGCCAAGTGGCGCAGGATGACCTCCATGTCCACCGTGCGCTGCTCCACGCGCAGTCCATGGGCACGGGCGTCCTTGAACTTGCGCGTCACTCGTCGTTCGTCCTTGTCTATGATCTTGGAGTAGTAGGTGTGCTGGGCGTAGTTGGGATCGATGCCCAGCGTTTGGGTGAAGTACTCGTGGCGCACCTGTCCATGGTAATGGTGGAAGATATATATACATGGAGAAATCAATCGTGTGAGCCACATCACACCTGGTAGCGCAGTAGTAGGTAGCACAGGTCGATGGTCCAAGTACTGGATCCGAAGCCCTCCTCGCCGCAGACTGCCTCGAAGTTTCCCAGGAGCTGTTCCCTCTGCTGCGCGGACAGGATCATGATGATGCAGGACAGGCCGCAGTCCCAGTTGTAGCGCTGCTGGTAGTGCGTCAGGTTGTAGTGCTTGCTGGGCGGCAGTCCGTTCATCCTGGTCGTGGTCCTGGTCCTGGTCCTGTGGTGCCCTGAGTCCTTTGCTGCGCTACTCCTGGCGAATTTAAGGGAATGTTTTGATTTTTCAGGGTTATTTTGCCCTCCCCCCCTTTTTGGCTGTGCAGTGTGGCCGTGTGCTGTGTGAGCGGAAATACCATATGCTGCAGGTTTTTCAATCTGTTAAGAACCTCTTTGGGATCCAAAATAATCAAAAAATAATAATAATTTGTATTTTTAAAGACTTCCATGGCTACACAGCCAGGTGCGAGCGAATTGGAAAAAAGCTAAAGCAAACTAAACTCTATTAAGTGTCTTAAAATAAGCCTTAAAAGCTATATTTGCTGTACTCAATTCTCAGAAGTCAAAAAAATTTATACCAAACAATGAACAAACACTAGTTATTCTATAAACCATTATTAACATTACTTCAAAAATCGCCATACCAAAGAAATCCAAGCATTTTCCATCAGTTTCTTATATATAAAATTCTACAAATAAATCAATAAATTTAAATATAACTGTACGCGAATTTCCTCAACGATCAGGCAACGCCAAGCGGTCGGCATGCGATTTTGCAATCATCTAGTTTTTACAAGTTTTCCCAGGCATTTTTAGCGGGAAACTCAGCCTGTGGCTAGGACTTATTTTCCCACCAGCCTCCAAGCCCTTAAATCCGCCGAAAATCCCCAAAACAGCCCCAAAACTGAATGGCGGTGTGCTGCCATCGCGATAAGATCCCGGCCCTTTCGCTTAACGGTCCCACTGTCGCACTGCAATTTTTTATTTATTAGAGTGACCATCACTGTTATTATTTTCACGTGTGGCTCCCAAACGAGCCAAAAACCAAGCGCCCGCTAAACAAACAAGCCACCAGCCAGCAGGGAGCAGCCGGTCACCACCGGACACAGCAGGAGCGCCAGTTAACCCGAAGTCTCCCGAGGATTCGCCCGCAAGTTCGTCGGCGTTCCCCGTAGCCGGAACAACAGGAAGAAGAAGCACGTGTGCGGCGTGCCGAAAAAAGGGGCAAGGTAAACAAGGAGGACAGGACAGGATCGACAGAAACCCAATCCGGAGGAGGACGACATGGTGCCCATCGGAGCCGTGCACGGCGGCCATCCCGGCGTAGTGCATCCGCCGCAGCAATCGCTGCCCACGGCGCCCAGTGGCCCGAACTCTCTGCAGCCGAACTCGGTGGGCCAGCCGGGGGCCACTACCTCCTCGAACAGCAGCGCCTCCAACAAGAGCTCGCTCTCCGTGAAGCCCAACTACACGCTCAAGTTCACCCTGGCCGGGCACACCAAGGCGGTGTCGGCGGTAAAGTTCAGTCCGAACGGCGAGTGGCTGGCCAGCTCCTGTGAGTATATCCGTAAACCGAGTAGATCACATCCCTGGGAACCCAGGCACATGGGACTAGTCGAGGCCAGGGAAATAATAGTGGGAGGGAGCTACTGTAGCTCCCGAATAGGGGATGTCCTTTAAATTTCAATTCAGGAGCATACCCACCTCCAAATGGGGTGGACATTTGCCCATTGTAAATGCAGTCTTGCAGTAATTACCGTAGTTGTGGCCTGCAAAAAGGGGTTGTTCTTAAACTGCAATTAAGGGATTGTCTACCTCATCTATATTTCATAAGTACTTAATCTACGGAACTTTTCATATTTTAAATCATGAGACTATTTGCAAGTGTTTCCCATCTAAAAACCAAGTAAAAATAATCTTTTAGGTACTTCATCATAAATTAGTATTTATTTTTAAACCCCTTTCCTTGAAGTGCATTATTAGGCCATCTGACGAAATCCATCTGGTATTATGAGTTATTTGTTGATGGTACCTCAGTTTCCACCTCAGTTCAAAGAAATTGTAGTGTTTATAAAGAATCAGTTGCAACTTCTACATAATATACACAAGTTACATTTCCAAGATACACAGATCGCTTTTATAACGAAATTTACCGACCGTCTGGGCCTTGATATAAAAAACCGCAATGTATACCATAATGTCTATTTATTTCATAGTAGTATTAGACTTTATTTTTCAGTTAGCTATAGTCTGCATACCACTGCTTGCTAAATCCCCACTTTCATTCCTTAGCCGCTGATAAACTCATCAAAATCTGGGGAGCCTACGATGGCAAGTTTGAGAAGACCATTTCGGGCCACAAGTTGGGCATCAGCGATGTGGCCTGGAGCTCGGACTCCCGTCTCCTGGTCAGCGGCAGCGATGACAAGACCCTCAAGGTCTGGGAACTGAGCACCGGGAAGAGCCTGAAGACCCTGAAGGGGCACAGCAACTATGTGTTCTGCTGCAACTTCAATCCGCAGTCCAATCTGATTGTCTCCGGCAGCTTCGACGAGAGCGTTCGCATTTGGGATGTGCGCACTGGCAAGTGCCTGAAGACCCTGCCCGCCCACTCGGATCCCGTTTCGGCAGTGCATTTCAATCGGGATGGCTCGCTGATTGTGAGCAGCAGCTACGATGGCTTGTGCCGCATCTGGGACACGGCCAGTGGGCAGTGCCTGAAGACCTTGATCGACGACGACAATCCGCCCGTCAGCTTTGTCAAGTTCTCGCCCAACGGCAAGTACATCCTGGCCGCCACGCTGGACAACACGCTCAAGTTGTGGGACTACTCAAAGGGCAAATGCCTAAAGACGTATACGGGCCACAAGAACGAGAAATACTGCATATTCGCCAACTTCTCGGTGACGGGAGGAAAGGTGAGATGAAATAACATGTTAATTAGTTCAAATATTTGCCTTTTTACCGTTAATAAGATGTTATCGATCTGTTGAAGTTTATTTTCACCAAACTTAATACGTGTATTCTCGCCTTTCAGTGGATCGTGAGCGGCAGCGAGGACAACATGGTCTACATCTGGAATCTGCAGAGCAAGGAGGTGGTGCAGAAGCTGCAGGGACACACCGACACCGTGCTGTGCACTGCCTGCCATCCCACGGAAAACATCATCGCCTCCGCGGCGCTCGAGAACGACAAGACCATCAAGCTGTGGAAGTCGGACACATAGAGTGGCTGGTATCCAGCTGGAGGATCGGGCGTTCAGCAGCTTTGACTGCCTCCACACATTCATTTCTTGGATAATATTATGTTAAAGGATCAAGTCTAATTTTAATTTAATACCCTTTTTTTTGTACACATAATTTAAAGGAGGAACCTTTAACTTCTACTTTTAAATCACAATTTAAAACTCACATTCTAAGGCAGTACGGAAAAACACAAAAAAAAAATCGGAAAAAACAAATTAATGTATAAATATTTATTAGCCTATTGTATTGGCCACCAAACAAGCGAGAATATTCCCCCAAAAATGTTTGTAACCTTTGACACAGCCACATACACCCCCACAAAAACTTATGATGATCTTTCGGTGACGAGAAAACTAAATTTAAGCAAAACAGGTGCTTGGGCCCAAAACCCGAGCGCCAGAAAGAATATATATAAAATACGAAATGTAAATTTTGAATAAAAGAAAGCACGTCCTCATGGCGCTTAAATGCTTTCGCATCTTGAGCGCTTTTCGAGGCGAGTCACTTATTTGTAATAGTTGAATTTGGTTCGGTTTTTTTTTTGGGGTACTGGGTATTAGATTCGTCGAAAAGTGTGTAGCAGACAGAAGGAAGCGTTTCCGACCCTATAAAGTATATATAATCTTTATCAGATCACTAGCTGAGTCAATCTAGCAACGGCCGTCTGAATGTCTGTTGGGACTTAGCATGTAGATTTTAGAGATTCCTGCGCAGCTCAAGTTTGTTTTAGCAAAGTTCCACGCCCATATCGGCAAATTTGTTTCAGTGTAAATTGAAATTTATTTTATTGATCAATGCCTATCTAAATGCTAAGAATCTTACCAATCGCATTGTTATTTTATGAGTTATGACAAACTAAGTTAAACTGGCTTTGTCTTGATCAAAATACAAAATTTTTTTAAAGTTGTAATTTTAAACTAATAACTTAATTATTGAATCATAATGAGTCTTCTATTTAAGTAATAATTTTAAATTTCTGGCGCCAAATATAGTGTGACCCTGCACCAGCCCCATTAGTGACGTGCAAATACCGATAGTCGCAATCAATATATCGATACTTCAGACATCGAGTCATCGATGTTTCCGTCGGCGCTCCGCCACCTCTATCAACTGAAATCGAATCGAAAAAAAACTCGGCTGCTGAACAAACCGAATCCGGAGAATCCGAATCCGATCCCCCGCAATGTGCGCGCCAATCCGCAGAACAGTCGCCCAGTGAATTTTGCGATTCGCAAATAATTCCGCTCCGCCGCCGTCGCACACACACAAATTCACACACGAAACACCCGCACAGCGCGCACACACACACACACACCGCGACACGCATAGTGAAGAAAAAAAAAAAGTGGCAATAAAACAAAAAACCGCCGAGCTCGTGGGAAAATCGATTTTCCCTTAACTTAACCGAATTGTTAAGGCTCGTCGATTGTTTGGGCTTTCCCCCAACAATAATACATTTTTTTTCCTGTGCAAAGTGCGCTGAGAAAGCGAGAGCGGCGTGAACCGGTGAACAGAGAGAGGGAAGAAAATTAGCAAGGCAACCGACGTTTATAAATACATATTCCAATATACCCATTTGCAAATATTAATGACAAGAAAAGATCAACAACAAGAACAACAACAACAACAGCAGTAGCATCAGCAGCAGCAGCAACAACAAAAACCCAGCAACAAGGAATTCTAATACGAAAATAAACCAAACAAATCGCGGGGCAAAAGAGGGAGAGCGAGAGAGGGAGAGCGTGTGAAAGAAGGGAGAGGAGAGACGCCAAAAAAAAGTATATTATTTTCGCGGCGCGGCACACCCAAAAACGCGGAAAACTCCCGAGCATCCTCGCCGCGCCCCCTGCCTTCCACCCAACAAATATCAACAACAAAAAACACAGGCAACCTGCATGGAAAACATGGTTAGTAAAACTAATCCAGTTAGCCCTAAGGGCGTAGCCAGGATTTTGTTACAGAGGGGGGAGGTGGTGGCATAAAATCAATACAAATTTTTTAAACAATTTAAAAGAGTCGATCAATTATTTTAGGTTCCCCGTTGGACATAACTGTCTACGCCCTTGGTTAGCCACCCGCTCACGTACCGCCTTCGCCCCCCTTGACCACCCCTTTTCGCCGCCCTTGGGCCGCCTATTAGCACATTTTGGTTAGTGGTTAGTTGTTGTTTTTTGTATGTGCACAGCTGCGGGCAAACGAATATGTATAAATATAGATTTTACGAAAAATGTTGGTGTGAATTATGCAGAGGAATAAATGGCCCTGATCTTGCAACTTCCGAGATCATTAAATAATGGCTAACACATATACATAAGTTAAGTTTGACATTTCGCAGAACTTGCCAGGATAGTGGTCATTTTTGTCATCCAATAAGATTATTATTTAAATAAACCGTTTGCGGAAAGAAAACATCTAAAACAAGGAATTATGTTTAGTTTAAACCTACATCTCATTGAGCAACTAATCGACAATTCGCCAACAGAAAGTCTTATTATTTTGACCACCATTGTGTGTCTGTGTAGATCTCGCGTGTTGTTGTGTTTTTTTCCGTGTGGCATTGTGACCTGTTAACTTGGAAAGTTACTTGGGATCTCGTGACTTTCGTCTGCATTCAATATACATAGCCATCGGGGAATGTCCTTGAGCAAGGGTTTGGCCCCCTTTTTAACCCCCGACGGGCGCAGCAGGGCGTGTTTAACCCTTGTGTCGCCAGCCAGCACTCCCCCAATGTACAGTCACCTCGCAACAACAGAAAATATGAGGAAAAAACGTCTCATTACAGGATGTTTATTTGCATGCATTTGTGTGTTAATTTGAGTCCGAGTAAACATCTTACAAACTACAAATGAATGGGTTAATTGTGGAAGAAGGCAGCAAAGAAGAATTGACAACTGCGCGATGTAAACACTGAATCGGGTTCGGGTATTCCCAAAACGAGAACCGTTTCCGTTTGCCGGAAACGTTAGGTTAACCAAATATTTGGATTAAGATCCATCGATTCGGTACGTAAGATCTAAATATAATCGTTTGCTGCTTTAAAAAAAAAACGTGTGCTACTTTTCTGAGTAAATCATTATAAAAGCTAAGATATAAATCGAAAAGCTTAAGTGTACGTTACCTAGAAAACACATATTCCCTTTGATAGAGTTTTTTGTTAAAGATAATTATACATTTAGAGTAATGACAAAACGAAAAAAAGCATACGATGCACTTTTTGAATTGCTGATACAGATAAAAACAAATGTAGGCTTTAGATTGTAAACAATTTCCATTATAAACACGTATATTATATCGCTTAACCCAACTTTATCTTGAGGTTATGTTTCTTAATTAAAAAAAATTATAAGTAAAATTCAGTAAAAGTGAATTGGAACATTTCTTTACATAACATATCTTTGGGTTTGTTTATCAATTCTAAGAGGATTACTTCAACGGGCACTTGTATTTTTTACGAAATATTTTCAGTAACCCTTATCGCCGTCTAGGGCAGATTGCCCCACAATTTTATTGACTTAATCCCGGGTAGAAGTGCATTTGCAGTGCGACTTGCACTCGGGCTTCCTTTGTGGTGTGGCCACAATTAACGATTGCTGATTGTGTGCTCTGTCGACGCTTATCTACGCACAGATACAGACGCACATGCCCCGTGTGTGTTTGCTCAGCCCACTGCGATAAGCCCGCTCTCTTTTCTCCCGGCCCTCGGAACCCGCATAGTCTCCAAAACTAGCCGGCACTACCGTCCACTACTCCACCACCACTCGAGGCGCGTGACAAAGAACATAAAAAAAAAGAGCAGCCCCTATCAGGTGGTATTCCATTGTCCCTAGTTCGGGATGCTATTCCCCATTGTCCCCAACTTCCTGACCTATATATGATGTCATGTCGCGGAAAGCAACTACAGTATTGCTACCTACATAACCACTGTACAACAACAGAACTCGCACCTTACTTTTGGCAAATGTCCCTATCTGGTTTTCGGCATGCAATTATCCTATCTATATGGCTATCTGCGCCAGTTCCATCGATGCCACTGAACTGGGTTTACAACCAACTGGCATGTTACCTAATTTCCTGACCCATGATGTCATTGGGGGATATACAAAACCCTATCCCTATCAACTGATATTTGGCTGTACTGGTAATCGGTGCTTTCAGTACGTGTCTTTTTACAGTTTTTCTTGCCAACGTCCCCAACTGCCTTTTGCATATGCATTTTAAGACCACATCTGGGGCCCCTCTTTATGGAATCCCCTTCTGTCTCACCCATGAAGATATTTCTGGAGGAGTAATAAATAGCAGGCACTACTGTCCCCCTGAAAACCGAGTGCAAACTCTTTAATTAGTCACCCACTGTGGCAGACACTCACTATACCCATTATCTGAACTCGTTGTGTGATTCAAATGATTCAAGAAGTGGCCGGCATACGCGCTACGATTACGACGTAATCGAGCTCTACACACAGAGAAAAGGGAGACCTTAATTTTTCCGTTAGTTTATATAGTTTATCATATCACATAAAGCAAACTTGCTGCATGAATATTTAATTGTCCTATGTGGTTTGATATCTAAAAAGGAAAAAAATAATAAAATGTAAACTGCCAACTATAATGTAGGAAATGTGAAATAGAATAGGTGTGCAAATCATAAAATGGCTATAAACACACTCCCCAAAATACTATGCAAAAAAGATCAAAGTATTATCAAAAGTAATCAGGTTGGAACCGCATCAAGTAAATCATAAATCACCGAAAAACCCCCCAATTGTTTTGGTTAATCACTGAAGTGACGTATAATGCATCTGGAATGAGTTGGCTTAGATTTCCGCAGTGCCGATAAGTCCTGGGCAATTCGAAATATTTGACGATTACTGCGGAAGGTGATTCTTCTACGTGTACCAGGTACATACTACCAACAATGGTTAGCGGCGCTCTGCCCTCCGCTGATTGTGTTCTGCGCTTGATAACGTATTTAATTTATTATTATGACGGAGCACACACACAGCCCACCACCTCGTATACGATATAGCATGGGCAGGTGTACCTGACCGATTTCCATGGAGCTTAGTGTACCGGCGACCGTCTTCGGAGCTCGAAGCGCGAGAAAACGAGAGGAAAAGTTAGAGAACGCGCGTACGAAACGAATCGAATCGAGTCGAAAACGTGCACCGAATCAAAGCGAAATATACGAAAAAATAAAAAAA